CGCCCCCTGGTGGACACTAGAGAGAATGCAGCTTTAACACATCAAGCATCGGATTCACTTTAAAGAACCGGAGGTTGTCTTCTGTACATATTGTGTCCGTAAAAAAAGCTGCTATCGTGGTGTACCTAAAGGGGCGGGGCTTGGCCTCTCTCTAGTCTGTAGTTAATAAACAGAGAATCAGACTTACAGTACGGGCCGTAAGCCGGGTGGTACTGAGGCCAGGGGTGTTTGTTGGCCACGGCGGCCCCCCCGTTGAAGGCGTCTGCAGGACAATGTGCACAGCAGGCCGCGCCCTGCGGCGGACACGAGTACGGAGACAATGTGTGGTGGCACAAGTTGCCCGAAGGCGGGTTGGAGCACAGAGACAGCGGCTGCTCCAGGCTGATCATACTGGGGCTGTGTTGGCCGGGCAGGGATGCCGACTTGTACCCGGAGAGGCTGCTGTGGAAGGACTGGTCCTTCTGGTTCAGAGAGGACGGCAGGCTGTTGGGATACCCTGACCAGCTGCTGGCGAAGCTCGGGTGGAGCCAGGCGCCGTCGGCCTGGCTGGGGAACGGCGTGGGCTGGCTGTAGCCGGCGGGCAGGCGGCAGGGAGGCTGGTAACAGCAGAAGCTGGAGCTTGGTGGAGGTAGGCGGTGGTCCTCTACTCTGTCCAGCCTGTGGGCGCCAAACGGGTAGGCGGCGGCGGCGGAGGAGGAGGAGGAGGCGTGATGGTGGCCGTCGGGCTGAGGGGCGGAGTCATGGACTCCGCTGGCTTCTCGCTCCTCCGTGCTCATCGTCTCATCGTCCTCCTCTGGCGTGTTGTGGTGGCTGCTGAAGGATCTGCTCAGCTGGCTGACGTGACTGTGAGTGCAGACAAATATCAGTCGAGAGAGGAGGGGAGAGGAGACGAGAGAGGAGAGAGGAGAGGAGAGGAGGGGAGAGAGGAGAGGAGAGGGGAGAGGAGAGGAGAGAGGAGAGAGGAGAGGAGAGAGGAGGGGAGAGAGGAGAGGAGAGAGGAGAGGGGAGAGAGGAGAGGAGGGGAGAGAGGAGAGGCTGGAACATGAGAATAGTTTAATATTTATAACTTGTAGAGCCTCTATTTATTTCTAACATTGGTAACACTAACATGTTGGATTTATAGATTAAATTGTTTTTAAATGTTTATAAAATAAATGATCAAAGAAATGTAACTTGTTCTTCTTTCTTATGATTGATGTCATAACTGTTGTTCTGCACTAAAGACGTGTTCTAGTTCTCTCTGCTTCTAGTCACGATGGTTCTGAGGGTTAAAGGTGAACAGGATATATAAAACGTTTTAAATCAGCCTCCACATCATCTTCTACAGGCACAGCTTCTTATCACAGCGAGATCTCTTTCTGTGGCTGGTAACAACATCCGCACAAAAAGCATTTGCACAGAAACATGAAAGCAGAAAGGCAGCTTGTGTTTGCAGCGCTTCATGAACACAATTAGTATTTATTTGTTTCACCTATTGGGAGCCGAGTGGATGGAAGCGGGCAGCATCATTGGTCCTCCTCACGTCCATGTGTGTCGGCTTCAAGCTGCATCTGAAACACTGGAGATGAAAGGAGCCGCATGGTGTTTAAAGTTATAGACCCTTCATCTCTGCTGCTGACACAGACTATATCGGCCCACGCTGTGTGTTTGACTTAAAGCGTCTCCCACACACGGGACTTTTTATGAATGTCTGCTGGTTAATATTCAGGAGACTAAATCACTCACATGTGGGAATAGAGAGACAAGTCATCAAACCACAAAACTTCCAAAAGATTAAAGTCTGTCTTTAGATTCCTTTGTAACGACACGTTTGATAAAAGATTATTCAGTTTTATTCACACGTTAGAAACAACGAAAAACATTTTCCACAAGTATTTACAACTATAGAAAAACATTTTACCAGTAGAAGTAAAAATCTGATGAAAAGTAAAAGTGACTCTGAAAAGGAACGAACTAGTATCTCAAAATAATGAGAAATCATTTAGAAAATAATGAGAAACTTTCTCAAAATAATGAAATAATGACGGTTCCCAAAACAATGAGTTAGTATCTCAAATTATTGATAAACTTTGTTAAAATGGCTTTGGATACTTCTTGTTTGTCATCAGTGACGTTACCGTCTGTTTCCATTGATCAGAAATATTCAATATAAATGTTAATGACCAAACAAATGACAATTTAGACAGAAACATTGTTTCCAGGGTCACAAAACCACACAAAGCTGCTGAACATGAGTCTTTAAAAACCTCAGTTTAGAAACAGCTCCGAGAGTTCCTGTAAGTGTTAAACACGCTCACGCACACACACGCACACATATTACAGTTGTTTGCACTTTCCACTGTGTGACTGACCCAGAAACGTCTCCTTCAACCTTCATTAGTGTGCGTTCATGCGCATGGAGGTAAATAAATAACTCCTTTAATTTGTCCGAGTAGCCTACGCCGGGTATTTGTCCGAGTACACAAACAGGTGACATGTTGTGAAATAAGTCTTCAAACTCACCGTCGATGACTTCAGGGCTCCTTCAGGTGAGTCGGTGTCCTCGTGCGAAGACGAGTCAAAAAGGTGAAAAAAAAAAATGAAGTAAAAAAAGTAACGACTTTGTGTTTAATTGTTTTTATGTAAATGTAGTTTTCCTTTTGATGTCGTCTCCGCGAGACAGATATTGACGCGCGAGAGCACTTCTTCGGTCTTCACTGTCTTTAGCGCCGAGAAGCCCCGCCCCTTCGGAACACGCCCCACACACACAGGCACATAGATACACGCGCGCATGCGCAGCCTGTTGGGTTTCTACAGACTCAACTGTTCCACCGAATGTCAACACGACAACCTCAGAGCCGCACAACAGGGCTGGGTCATATTTATTTAATTACACTGAATATAAATTGCATTCTGTTATTAATACTGATACACGGGATTACATCTTAGCTAATACGGGTACTTATACCTGTAGTTCACGTATTTATATATTTTATTGGTCAGTTATTTTTCTACTGCTTTTGTGTTTTTTGTTGATTTTTTCATAATTTGTTTTTCTGTTTTTCCTCTTTTTGTTATCGTTTGTTTAATAGAGAGGCTTCTTGTGTAAACACGTGGCTTCCTGTCACATTTATTCATCATCCGGATTTGTAAAGTCTTGTGTGTAAAATACTTTTGGATCAAACATTTAACTAAAAAATAAATGGAGATCAACAAATGTTATTTTTCTCTTTTAATGCAATAAAATGCACTTTGCAAATTCATCATTTACAGTCGTTGAATTTTAATGAATTGATTATGAAAAAAAAGAAATAGTTTTAAAACAGTTTTAAAGACATAATCAAAAATGTAATCCATGACAATGTAACTATAATCTAAGTGCAATTGTTATGTAATTCAGGCTGATTATAGTTATTAAATCTTTGTAATGTGATTACTTAGTCGCTCAACTGCTGAAATCAGACTTCTGTAATAACTTCAACACGTCGTCTCTGTTACCATCAGATCAGAGATTTCCACAACTTAAGACGGTTAAAGTGAAGTAAAGTCTACACGTGTGTGTTCATCATAAGGCTCCACGCTGCAGCAGAGAGACGTTTGTTTACTGACTCCTTATTTCACCCATAAATCAATGATTACAAACTGTGTTCACGTGCTTTGTATCTCCAAACAGCCACTTAAATGCATTCAGGCTCGATACAAACAAAGAGATGAAAAACTTGTCGTTATCGGAGCAGATGGAGGAACGGAGCCGTGTTGACTTGTCCTTGTTTGGAGAAGCAGGACTCCAGCCAGTCCTTCTGCACCGGGACGGCCTGAGAGTACCGACGGACCAGATCCTGGAGCTCCTGGTTCACACGGATCACACACACAAAGTTAATCCAAAATAAAAGATGTTTCTCTAGGATTTCTCTTATCATCCGCTTCTGGTTTTAATGTTTTTTATTATTGGCAGCACTTCAGATTCACCAAAGTCACTCAGCAAAGCAGCAAGGCACGTTTACATCAGTGTTTGAGTGAATGGAGTCTGGTGTGTTTGTAGAGATCA